CAGGATTTTCTTTCAATTAATAATTTAACCATAAATTCATTGTCCAATCCATACTGTAGTCACTAACTGGGTTATTGAGAAGAGTTGTATGATTAGGAGCAGCATGTTTCAAAAATCTCATTTATGTAAAATCCTGCTTGTAACAGAGACCATTATCCTCACTATAAATCTCATCCAAATCGCACATAATAATATTTTCAGCTACATTTGAAATCTATTTAATCTACCTCCAATTAAAATACTAATCTCTCTCATCATTTCGAGCTATTTTAGCTTCCAACTAATTAGAACTCATATCAAATAGAGTATCTCCGATTCCTTCATTTAAAGGAAAATAAATTAGTACAGTATCTGGCCTAGGTTTTGCAAATAATGAATTAAAATCTGGATACATTAAATGATTATTCCTCACGATTAGATGGGATATGGAGAAATCACATTAGCTGTTACAAAATTAAAGTTCATTAAGTTAGCTCATATTGTGAATACTTACATACTATGACAAATTTATTTCATAAGGAACTTGAAGGTCTGTAGCAATGCTTATTTTAAATTGAGTTGAAGAGGAGAATATTCTTAAAATGAGCTTTCTCCACAATCTCTTTGTATTAGTATTCTGATCAATTCTAGAAATAGTACTTACTGGTGTAGCAGTACTGAGTTATCCAGAAGCTAAATTTTTGCAGTAAACAGTTAATAGATCATTCAAAACTGGGAAATTTAGTGAAATTGCGACTCCTCCAATAGTTATATAAATGACATTCACCTAGGTTTATTCAGATATAAGTAGCATCCAAAAATCTATTTGAAGATTTTGATATTCTTTCACACCTTTGATAGGTATTTTTAGGTCGCACAATAAATCATTTCTTAGATACAAATAGGAATATGAGCTACAAGCCTAACCATTGAAATATTAATTGTCAAGACAGATTGGTGGTTAAGCATTACCTGGTTGAGTAACATCAAGATATTTGCCCTCTATCTTCATTCCTTTTTTAAAAAATTAAGGATAATTAGGCCAACTTTAATGATACTAGTTCAGATCGTAAAATATAAGATTAGCATAATAGTACCCATCAAGTGTTTTCTTATTAGTCTACAATATAAATTAATCAGTCAATCTACCACTCCATATTCTAATCTCTCTTAAAAACGTATTTTAATCGGATTCAATTTGCTTATTAGATATAGCTAGAAGATTTTGATTATTTTTAACTTTTAAGTCATAAATTTGATTCTCAATGAAGACTCTTAGGGTTTTTTAATCATTTATATTTCCTGGATAAGTCATTGCAAAGGATTTAAACTACCTAATCGAAATATCCGGGGCACGATAAGTTTTTACCTCCTCATTATTCTTTGTAAATGTCATTGTATAATAGGAATCACTGCAATGTTAAATTTTAATCCAATCCTAAATATTGAGCATTAGTTTAGATGTAATGCCAACATTGTAATCTGATACAAAATAAAATTGGAATTAAATGGTGTATTATGCTAATGCTGGTCCATCAAAACCTGTATATATTGAATTTCTACCATAATATACATTTGTCAAACCAAAATAAGATTCCCATATAAAGGAATCATGATCAACATAAGATTAATAATTCAAATTAGAGGAGAATGAAACTCGCATTTAAATCTATGAGTTAGAACAATGGTCGTATAAAATTTAATCATAGATTCTCTCTTAAAAAGTATAGTATAATACAAGATTGCTATCTTTCTAGTTTTAACTATTTTAATGTATTAGAAATAAAAAGGGATTATAATCTTACTTTCGCATATATTACTATACTTGCTAATCATTTAAAGCGACATTATATATTTTAAATTCACTTATCCTTCCTTTCATTGCTAAAAATTATATATCACCATTTGTGATATCATTTCCAAATTAAACTTTAGAAAAGAAAGATACATCCCTATTAGGAATAGGAACATTTAACGCATCCTTCTTTACACCTCTTATATATACATAATATTTTCCTTAGTTAGTATTTCTAACAACTGCCCAATGAGCCCAGGCATTGTTAAAATACAGTAAATCAGTTTTGTTATTTTCATAACCATGAATATAATGCTCAAAATTTGCTCTAAAAGAATTCTCCACCTACCAACAATAGTAACCCAATTGCAGTTGATCTTCAACTGGACCTTAATGATTAAAA